ATGTCCGTGAGTTACTTTGGGTCATTCGCTGGAGCCTTGGAGCCTCGGAGCCTCAGGACCTTCAATTTCGATATCATCCGGGTTGGATGCATCTATGGGAGCGATAGCCCAGTGTTGAAGTTCATCAGCCAACTGCTGGTGTGCCCCATTGGTTGTTGGGCCTTGCTGGGCGGTCAGGATGGAGATTTTGTTCAGGGGCTTCTGGAAAGATGACGACATATCATGATATGGAAAAAACCACATGATTTCCCATGTGCCAAGTACTCAGAACCAACTGCGGGCCCCATTGGCTCAAACAGAAGGTTTGATTCGAGATTTTGACAGGTCATTGTACACTTCAACATGATCAACATGATGGCTAACATGCTTGCTTCTGGTTTTCAAAACAAACAAACAAATTCGGTCACATAATCTTGTAGAGTGCCTGGAATTGACGCAGGTGTTTGTTCTGTCCAGATGGCACACATCAAACTCTACAACATTTCTATGGTTTGGTCACCCAATTCACCTTAAATTCCCGAAGAAATGGTATGAGGAATCTGTCAATATCCATGACCCAATTCACGATGGATTCCCAGGCTTTCCAATGATCCCAACAGAATTTGGAAACTGGTTTCCCCTCTGAAAGCCTAAATTGTTCGAACATGTTCCAACCAACAACAAGTTAGGAACATCACAGGAACCCTTGGTTGGAACAACAAACAGGGGTTATTATTGCTGTACCAACATTACAGGAAACCCTTGGTTGGTGTTTTTTTTATCAACATGACTTTCACGGCATGATTTTTGACGATTTTTTGTTTACGCACATAAAATTGAAGGGAAGATCTGCAGAAAAAACAAGGGTTTCCTGTAATGTTAGTACAGCAACAATAACCCCTTCATATTTTGATGATTCCAACCCATGGTAAATTCTTGGGGGTGCTGGATCATATAGCTTTATAGCTTTAAACGTTTTTTTTCTTACGCCAAACCATTGATTGCACTATTAAAACCATGTTAATTACACAGTTATAACACCATGGTTTTTTATTCATGGTGTGATGAAAAATACACTATTATTATCTATTATTTATCATTTTCATCACACCATTCACACCGCCCGAGGCTGTGGCTGCTTTTTCCTCATTGGCTGTGTGAGCAGCCGGCTGCAGCATCCCGTGCCGCTGGAAAGTTTCTTGAAATGGTGGATCCCCAAACGGATTGTTTATAATGGAAAATCATATTAAAATGAATGATTTGGGGATGCCCCAATTTGAGGAAGCCGCCATAGAACTTGATATATATATATATATAACTATAGACATGGGAATGGATATATATATATAACGCATCTATAGACTATAGTTAATGGATATAACTATAGTTAATGGGGTTGGGGGTCATATAGTTGGTGAATGAATGACTACGACCTCATGTCCGTGACAGTATGACCTTGTTTCGCATTTCCATCATCCTTCATTGGTTCATTCCCTAATTTTTGGAGTGGTTACCCTCTAGTAAACTAAGCTATGGACAATCACCAGTTTCAATAGGTAAATCGAACTAGATGGGCCATAGCTTCCACTTCGCAAAGTGTCAAATTACTGGAGGGTAGTGTTTTTTTTAATTAATCAGTTTTTTCTCTCCACCAGTCGTGGCTTTGGGCATCCATCAGCTCTGCAGTTTTTTTTTTTTGCGTAGGACACCAGCATCAGCCGCTGTGGAATGTTGCTCTTCGCCTTTTTCCTGTCCATCACATTGCGGAGTTTCGGATCTCGTGAAGGGAAAAAAATGGAACAAAGTTCATCATTTATCCTGTTATAGTCCCTGAAAAGATGAATCTAGTAATTCATGACTATTTTAGATTCAGATTTTACGATTTCTCCATTTTTTGGGGGTTTACTATAATGCATATATTACTGTCAAGCCCGTTTTTTTGGTGAACATTTGGGATGTTGCTCATTGGGATACCAAACTAGGGATTATTATACGTAAGTGTACCATTAGTGGACCATTAGTCAATCTTGGAATTTGATTATATATGGGAATCGCAGATGATATATATATATGATATATGATATATGATATATGATATATGATATATGATATATGATATATGATATATGATATATAATATGTATAGCTGGTGATTATTACATAATGAAGCAATACTACTCAATAATACTCAATAGTTGGTGACGAAAAATATGGGAGTTGGGGATTATTGGATTGCTACCTGTTTTTTTTGGATATCTATATCTATCAATCAGTATTCTATGGACTTTTCATGGCTAGGAGGGGCAAGATAAACCAGCATTTCACCGCAATCAAACATGGCTGGCTGGAAAATCCCCGAACTAAATGATCATTTAAATTGGCAAATTATCCAGGAAAATTGGTAATTTCCAGCAAGCCATGTTTGACTACCAGAGGGTATCCTCCACAATTAACCCAAATATTTTCGTATGTTGGATTGTTGTGAGCTTATGTTCTAGCCTGTCCTGTTTGGAAGTGCTTTTGATGAAGCCGATTTAAGATTGTGAAGGCTAGAGCCACGTTTTTAAAGTACTTGGGTACTGGGGTTGACATTGAACGTCAACACAACTTGAGGAGCATCCCAGGCTTTGTCTCACTTGATTTTTTTGTTCCAGGTGGCCATGAAGAACATGAACAGATTGGAAACATGATGCCAAACCATGGGGGTTTCGGGTTTTCCATTTTTTAAGACATACATTGTCATAGCATGTCACAGCCACTTGTTACTGAAGCACACCTCAGGAATTTGATGCCGTTTCAATGTGTTCCGAATCCTGATGGCAGCTCTTCGATGGTTTCGCAACCTGGAATTATTTGCTATGACTCCGATGAGCACGTGTCCCGGCCACATCCAGCGTTTTCCTCTTGGGATCCAGTTTTTTTTTTCACTTGGGGCCTTTTAGGAACTCACGGAGTTGATATGGCCTGCCTCCCAAAGCATTTCGAAAAAATGTCGCTTCCAGAACATCTCATATCACCATGTAGGTCATGTAGGCACTTAATTTTCGCATTTTCCCAACATCCAGTCTACAACGAATGAGTCCAGGAAACGACCCGTTTTCCGGATCCTGAATCCTGAGCCATAAAAATTTCCCCAAAGAGATGCCACAGGATGGTCGCTAACCCCCCATGAATACTAGTTCCTTATACCCTCTGGTAATTTGTTACATAGCTATTGAAAATGACCATTTAGTTCGTGGATTTTCCCATTGAAAATGGTGATTTTCCATAGTTATGTTAGTTTATCAGAGGGTATCTACCATAAACCATAGTTAATTCAGCCACTGAAATAAGGCGTTTCTTTTTACACGACTGAGCTCGACTGGGGGCCCCAGACAGTTTGCCATATTCATCCAAGGTGTTGCTCATGGTGCTGGCCATGGTGGGGTTGCTGCAGCCTTTCCTGGTGCTCTGCTGGGCGACCTACGCCACGGTGACCTTTCCTTCGCGCATCGCCAGTGGCCGGGGTCTGTGCCTGGTGCATCGCTATCGCTTCCTGTTCCATCGCTTCAAACCGGACTGCCCCTGGACATGGCTTGGATCGTGCTGTGGTAGACCCAATATAGCTCTATCATGCTCTACCCTTGGCGGAAGCCATTTCTGGTCATACTGGGGATGGTTTATTCTTGGGTTTATTCTTGGGTTTGACCCTAAAAGAGTTCGGGCCTATTGACCATGGCTCATTGTGGTCAGTTCTCTTACATTTTGAGCACCAAAAGGATCTGTTCCCTTCTACCTGCCTGAAAATGTAGCTTTTGAAAGATCAACAGTGAGTATAACCCCCTGCAATAAACCAATCAAAGCGGGTTAGTTTTGATGACTCAGTTTCACTTCATCTAAACATATATAGTATATATATATATAGTATGTATATTTAGTCCATATTCATAACCCGTTCATAACCCATTTTGACGCCATAGCCTCCAATAAATTAACGATGTGGAAAACGACCCATTTAGTTCGATGCTTTTCCATCTAAAAAATGGTGATTTACTATGTCGCTATGTCATTATGTGAGTTTACCTGCACCAGTTGATAGGTGGTTTATCCCATTATTTATAGGGTTTAACCATCCAAGGTGGTGCAGGATTTCTTCCACCCACCGTATCACTCAGGTTTCTATTACGGCCTCTTCTTGTTGTACCGCAATGGCCTCATCGCCTTGTTGCCCGTTCTCTTGGTGAAGTTACCAGAGGTGCAGGTGCCCTTCATGGGAATGGTGCTCTTGAGCCTTGGCCGAGAGATGCGTGAAGCCATTGAAAATAAAGATTTGTCCGTCCTTCATATCACCTTTATATGTATATATACATGTGTATAAATCTGGGTAAATTGTAATATTTCACTAACCTAAATAGTTCGGCCATTTGGAGATGATTTCCCTTAGAAACCATGATTCCAGTGAGGGAGAACAGTGAGGTCGTTATAATTTACCAAGATAAATATATAGTTGCGTAGATAGAATATGGAAAATTCAAGCCGTCCTCACTAAAGTGGAAATATGTTTGGAAATCCTTTCTTCTATCTACTTCAGGATGATTACATATAAAGACAAAAACATGTATCTTACATGGCTTTTAAGCAATGACAAATATGGGGATATCATTGGTAAATTATGGTTGGTTTATGATTGACTATGTAAAAATGAGGATTTCATCATTATTTTTTACGGGTTATATAGTTATACCATTCAATATATTGGGAGGTATCATCATATGAAGTGGGAATCCCGTTCCTAACCAGAATATTGACAGAGGGTCTTGAACTCTGCTCGGCTTTCTCCAGAATTGGGGGAGTTGATCAACATTTTTCTGGGGATGTTAACACATGTTAGCCAGCCATTTTATGTACAAATCTAGCATATATGACTACCCTCTGGTAATTTAACATAGCTATTGAAAATGGCCATTTATAGTGGATTTTCCCATTAAAAATGGTGATTTTCCATAATTATGTTAAATTACCAGAGGGTATGACCAACACTATCTTGCCTTGTCCAGAGATATGATATCGGTCAAGTGTCTTGGCTTGTGGCGCCTCGAAGAATGTGGACATTTTTGAACGGAACCCCTGTGTTGATTTATAGTTTGTAGCTCACATGGCAAGAAAAACGGGACGAGAAATACGTTGGAAATGAATGTTGAGTTGGGTCATGTTCTTGTTTTATGGCTAGAATCGGCTAGAACATGGACGAATCCACTGGGGTTTCACATCGAGTTGCGGGATGACGCAGCCGACGCAGCCGCATAGATTTCGTTCCACGGTTTGCTGCTGGAAATCACCGGTAAAAGGGCGATTTTTTTCGCTGCGAACCATGGATTTACCCTTTGGTTATGACTAACATAGCCATGGAAAATGACCCATTTATAGATGGTTGACCTATCAAAAATGGTGATTTTCCATGGCGAACTGTTAAATAGCCAGATGGTAAACATTTTCTCAATGGGAATTTCGTCGGATCCAATACATGGAGGTACGTTGTGACGTACCATTGGTTATGTTGGGCCATATGAATTGGGGGGATATTCCCTGAAACTTAGGCCTGAAAAATAGGCCTTATACATGGTAGGTACCTCCAATTTAGGATCCTGGAATGGCTATTGATTTTCTATAAATGGGTGATTTTCCATTGCCACATTTGATTACCAGAGGGTAATCCATGCATATTCAGGTTCCACCATATTTTTCCCATCAACAAATCCAATGTTCAATGGATTGGTTTCAGGGAACATTTTCAAGAAACCATCATATTTCATAGGAAAAACCATGGTTTCCGGTTTCGATTTTCCCTCAAACCAATCCATTGACACGTGGACACCTTTTTAAATTTCCAAACGTTCCTTTCGCCATGCCCGCATGCGCAACGGCGCCATTTTCGGTGCTTCACGGTTAGGATCTCCATGGCGTTGCAAAGCCGGAAGTATCCCTGGCGAAGCACAGAAGCCAACTACATTGAACTACTTCTCACGGGCTTTCTGTTGGTGACTTCGATGCGGGTAAGGCGTAAAAGCATGGGACCATGTGGGATCCAATGGTGGTAATATAAACGTTAATTTTTGGGTCAATATACGTAAACCCTAAAGCCTAAACCATCCCAAATCACCATGGGCACCATGGGTGCTAGTGCTATTACTATCCCATATATTTATTGTGACTATCCCATGATTACAATGATTTATTATCATCGTTTTCTGTGGGATTCACCCAATGCCATGTGTACCATCCCCCACTCTGTGCCATTCTTTTGGACGTTTGCCCAAAAAGGTGATCTTATTGGGCGCCGCACCGCTGCTGGAGATCAACATCGACACATCATCTGAAGCTTTGGGTAACTTGATGCGAAAAATGAGGGAATCATCGCTGAATGATTCATTTCTTAATGTTATGATAACATGTGTTTTGTACATTAATGCTGTTTACAATTTCATATTCATGTTATGTTCACATATGGTCAAGTGTTTCATATATTCATGATCATCATATACAAAAAAAACTTAAGACATAGAACCAGGATGGAAAACTGTGAGATCATCCAGTTTTTTTTTGGTTCGCAGGTAATATGAGGTCACCATATTGGACAAAATTCAGCGAAGACATGGAATATGGATTTGCTGAAGATGAGTTTTCAATTTCCCATTCCTTCATCCACTTTATTTGGAATCTGTGATATTTTTTGAATGGCACCCTGAGGCAGATCCAAATTTAATGCCACATGCCCAGGTGTGGGAGGGAAAATGAGACATTTCTCCTGCAAATTGGCAAGTTTCGTATGGAAAATGGGATGGAATTGAGGTTCTTTATTTTCAGACAGACCATCAGACCCATATCTGGGTGACCTTTAGCTTAAAAAATGCCATTTGGGAAAATGGGATGAAAACCGAGACCTCTGACCTCTTTAGATTGAGATGGCTTGGCCACGTAAGAACTCACGACATGTTTTTCCCTTTGAAGGAAAGTCAGTTTGGCAAGTCAGGGAGGGTTTTCTTGACCAACGGCAGAATAGACTAACAATCAAGCAGTGCAATGGGACATCCCTCACAAATGGAGGTTTCTAGCCGAGAAAATCATCGAACTATATAAATGGATGATTTTACAGCTAGCTATGTTTGATTACCAGAGGCTCAGAGTGTAAACTTTACCCTCCAGTAAATCGACATAGCCATGGAACATCACCATTTTGACTAGGTAAATACATCCAACTAATTTACTACATAGGTGTTTCTTCTTAAAATATTGGATCCCCAAAAACCATAGGTTTCAATACTTAAATGGTCTAATTTTGCATGATTTGGGGGTACCCCTAGTTTGGGAAACCTCCAAATGGGCAATGGCTTCCAGTTCGCTATGGCAACTGGGTTTGTCAGAAATTGGATTGTCGAAACCTCCAAGATTTCATGGTGATCATCTGATCTTGACATGGGATTTGATCTGGTTGGTGACTGGAACCATGGAATTTTATATCATTTTATGACTTTCCATTCAGTTGGGAATTTCAGAAAATCCCAACTGACGATTCGTCCATCATTTTTCAGAGGGGTAGGGCTCAACAACCAACCAGTGATGGTTTTAAGCATTTAATCCATGGCAAATGATTGGTGAAACCTCGATTTTTGCCGACAGGATCCCACACACGCCCTGCTGGTTCGAATGTTCTTTGTTCTGTCGGAGTCATGGGTGCTTTCCAGGAATTGTAGGGTGAATTTGCAGCCCTTACCCTAATGTGGCAATGGAACATCACCCATTTATGATTCCCGGAGGGTAAAAAATTGATCCAATTTCGCTGAGGCTGGCTGCTTTGTGTACCGGTGGTGGGCCTGGTGGTGCCTGGTTTTTTGGCTCTTGGAATGCCTATTTGGTCCCATTTGATGCTTGACTGGAAACTTTGTGGCGGAATGTGGCGGAACACGACACGACAAATACCGCACGTTGCACTTGGGATCACACACACACACACACCCACACACGTACCTACGCACGCACGCACGCACGCACGGACGCACGCACAGCACACGCACTCAGATCTTTCTCTCTCTCTCTCTCTGCCTATAAATTCTTGTGTGTAGATATATATATAGTATGTATGATTGATATAATATATATATATATATAATATGTATATATATAATATGTACAATAAATCCATTGATTAGCTGTTTATATTTGTCTACCCCGTTGCCACCCTGCCACCCCTGGTATCTGGGATGAAGCATCAACCCTGATGTTTGGGGATCATTGAACGGCGTCATCAACGATCATCAAGCAGCAAATGGGCTTGTAGTCGTCTAGCAAACTTCACGACACGTGTGTGCATGAATATAGCCAGAGTATCTTTAAATATGTAAATAATGCTTCTCCGTATATCTCTTAGATGTGTTTATGTATTCATGTACTACCAAGCACAACCAACGGAGATGGGCATTGCTCAATATTTTGTTCATCGATTTTCTAGATGCATGTCAACAACCATCGCAGTGTGAATGAATGTTGCATTTTCTACAACTGAGGTTATTTGTGGGCAAACAAGTGTAGGTTCTTGCGTTTTTTTTCATGGGTATATGGCACCAGGTGATCCACACAACCAAAACTCCTTCGCCGAAACAAAGGTTGATGCTCGGAGAAGGCTAATGCTTCATATAGACATGTGTATGCATATTATATATATAATATATATATGTATACGTTTATGTGTGCATAGGAGAATATACATTTATATTTCTTTTACTGTATGTATTCATATATATATATATACATTATATATATACATAATATATATATATAAATAAAGATAGATACACAGAACATTTGTATGTACATGTGCATATACAAGTAGCTCAATAAAATTGCATTTTTTTTTATCTGTGGATTGACTGGGGTTCTGGTCGACATTTCCAACCCCCACACGCCACCTTGGATGCCTTGGATGTGCCCCAATCGGCTCATGTGAACATCCTGATCCAATCGCAGATCTTGTGGAGTTCCATAGCTGGAGTTTTCAGGGAAAGAAAAGGAGGAAAAGGATGGAAAAGGAAGAAATCTCTCTGTCTCTTTGCTGTTTCGGATGCTGGGTTTCCTCATCAGGATGCCTGAACCCAGCAAAATAGCCATGTTTCTCTTCGTCTCTTTTTTCAAACCAGGATGAAATGAAACCGGAGGAGAAAGAGGGAATAATGAACAGAAGGGAAGAAAAGGAAGGACACCCCTTTGGCCTACACCCACACCCACATATA